CGACGGCGACAGGGGCGATTGCGAGCACTCGTGCGTGCTCTCCATGTGCGGCCAGCTCCACCCGGACAGCAAGATGATGGCCGTGTGCCTGGACACGTGCCACAAGAGCTATGCGACCAAGGGATGCAGGCGGCCGGGCAGTGCCAGTACAAGTTCGGACATGTGATGCTAAATTGCCCGTGCCAAGCAGCCCTAGTATTGCTAGTTTGAGTCCGACAAAAACTTTCTAGAATTTATTTACAAGTTGATTCCGCAAAAGGACGGGATCAACCATTAGATACAGAATTTGCCAAGTCGCGTGGGCTACGTCTTTCCTCTCACAGAATTTTTTACAGATTGTCAATTTTGTATGAGAGGTTTATTTTGAGCATACCCAATTTGTTAATGCCTACACGGGCACGGGTCTAGTGGCCATAAATCATGAAGGACAGTTCCAAGTAGGACGATGCCGCAAATATATGGTTATGTACGAGCCGTTCATACTGGAACTGACAGCGTGCTTGGATGCTATCATATGTGCGATTGGGCGGGGGATTTCCCGTATTATCATTGAGACTGATTGTCAGGCAGTTGTTACGGCGTGGAAACAAGAAAATGGTCGCTCAGTTGGAGGACAAGTGTGCAAGGACGTGAGGACCTATCTCCATTTCTCCATTACTTTCAGGGTTTTGACCTGAGATGGACAGGACGAGAAGCAAATGCTGCTGCTCATGGCTGAACACATCTCCACACGAGTGAGGAACTCCAGAACCGTCTACGACGCGATAACTTCGGATGCATGGGCGCGTGACCATGCGCCGTCCATCGACCACGCCTCCTTGGAGCAGTTCATGTCCCTGTGGCCCATGGTGGCGGCCACCCAACTGCAGGAGCACGGCAGTGACGTCGTTCACTTGGGCCTGGAGTAAGGAGGGACAGTTCTCGACCAGTTCGGCCTACTAGGCCATGTTTTGGGGGCTTCAGGTTTCACCCACGGATGCACTCACTTGGGATTCGCGGGCACCGCTAAGATGCACGTTCTTTTCCTGGCTGGCCGCTAAGGACAGATGTTGGACCTCGAACCGGTTGGCGCGACGAGGTTTGCCACACCAGACAGCATGCCCGCTATGCGATCAGCATGAGGAAACAATAAACTATCTACTTCTGTATTGCGTCTTCACACGGCAAGTGTGGGCTCGAGTGTTGCCCGCGCTGGCCATGGGACATGTGGAGCCACGCCTGAAAGAGCCGCTAACGGAATGGTACATGCGCAACGAGATGAACAGGCTGTCGAAGCAAAGAGCGAGGCTGATACGCGCTACCTGCTTACTAGTCATTTGGAGGTTTGAAAGCACCGGTGTTGTGTTTGATGGCAAGGCCCCTCGCCTAAGGGACATGCTACGAAAGATCGCTAGCGAATATGTACTATGGAGGGATGCGGGACTGCTACGAGGTGATGAGGACACGCATCGGGGCTTAGAGATAGCACTAGGGAGGGCGCAGGGTGAGTAGTCACATAGCATTGTAGGTGGAGATAGGTGTGGGTTTTATGTAGCCATACCTTGTAAAACTGCGGTGGGGCTCTTTCCACCTTCCTTCTATAATAGATGGTACGCACACTCGTGCGTATTCGAAAAAAAAATGTTGCTGCTCACTTATGTGCTAAAGAATATCTAGTTTTAGAGTCTATCGCTCTATCTTTTGATATAATCCCTGAATTTTTGATTGATGTTTTGCAATAAGATGTAAACCGCCGAAATGAATAGAATGCCTTGATGGTGGTTAAAAAAAAAGAATTTGTGTAGACGACCTTCCTATGACATATCAATATAGCTAGCATTCAATTTTCCCATATTTGGCCCAATCAGAATATGGAGTGTGGTTTATTAAGGTTGTACTCAAGTGCTTGGTGAGCAGGCTAGGTCCTTTGCTTGCCGATATTATCTCGCCGGCTCAGGTGCCTTTATCACATCTTGATAATGCATTGTTAGCTTTTGAATTTATCCACCATATAAAGCAAGAGAAGGACCCCAACAAGGAGTCATTGTGCTTATAAATTAGATTTATCTAAAGCATATGATCGAATTTACTGGAACTACGGTAAGCAAGTGATGCATACGCTTCGCTCATCGGTGGGTCAATTCGATAATGACATGTGGGATTTATGTGTGATATCATGTAAAATTTAATGGAGCCATTTTGGAACCATTTGCACTATCATGTGGGCTACGTCAAGGCGATCCACTGTTCTCGTACTTACTTTTATTTCTTACCAACAGACTCTCTTCTCTATTCAATAAAGGGATCGTTTCAGGTGAAGCATCCCATGTCATGGTATGTTGTAGGGCGCCCGGAATTTCACATATGTGATTGGCCTATGAAACCATACTACTCTTTGAAGCCAATGGTCATCAAGCAAGTTAGGTCCAGAGCATTCTTAACAAATTTGTAGAAGGAACCGACCAGAACATTAATCCATGTAGTTGCTCCCTCTTGCTTGGTAATTCTCACCCAAAATCGCAGAGCATGCACAATTACAAGTAGTTATAGTGGGATTTGAAGAAAAATACTAGGGGTCTCATGACACCGGATGGTCCCATGTCAATGTGCAAATTTCTGAATCTTCAAGCCACATACTCTTCAAGCAAATCATACTAAGTGGTTCATGGCATGAGGGGATGAATACCCATCTCAGGCGGGCAAGGAGATATTAATCAAGTCTGTTGCACATGAAATCCCTCCATATATGATGAACGTTTTCGAGCTCCCAGTGGTTGTCTGTGAAGATCTTAATCATGTAGTACACAACTACTGGTGGTCTCCAATCAGGGAAAGCGTAAAACATATTGGAACACATGGAATAGGATCATCAAGACCATGTGCCAGGGTGATATTGGATTTTGATATTTCCGAATTTTTGACCAAGCTTTGCTCGCTACATAGGCTTGGCCACTGCTAGCAATCCATAAAGACCTTGCGCAAGCGTGTTAAAATTAAAATACTATCCAAATGAAGGCTAAATGTCATTGTTTTCTATGGGAATCAATTCTCTACTTGGGAAGGCAACCAACTATGGGATAGGACTTCTAAAAAAGGGTCTCCTTTGGTGTATAGGTAATGGGCAGAGCGTTCAAGTTTGGTGGGACAGCTGGATTCCTCGCATGCCATCAAGGAAATTAGTCACTAAACAAGTGCAATACTGGTTGTGATGGGACTCAAACTCTTGGACCCAATGGCACATGGAATGTTAACCTACTGCGTCAATTCTTCCTCCCTCTAGATGTTAACAAAATCTTAAAAAGGTCGTCCATCTCCCCGGTTGGTCAAGGACTGCCTTTCATGGGCTACAAAGCGAATCAGATACTTCACTGTCAAAATCATTTATCATTTGGCTTTTGCTGAGCTCCATCAAGCTTCTACCTGCACTATGAGCAGGGCACCAAACAGACGATATGTCATCTATGGCAGTTGGGGGGGTGCCTTGCCCTCCTAAGTTACCGATATTTTCTTGGAAGATTGCTACGTATTCTCTCCCAACTTGAACAAATAAGCATGCAATAAATCTTGAAATGTCTGACATATGTCTCAATGCGGTGTGGAATAGGACAACAACTTCCATGCACTCTGCAGAACCCCTCCCGCCAACACGGTTAATTTGTGGCAAGCAATGGTGGGAGTTTGGATGCTTGTTGATGTGTCCCAACTAGTGTCCTCTGGTCCTGAGTGGATGCTTTCATATCCCTGGTGATCTATTTGAGACCGCTCGCGTGACCTTTCTAATGATGCTCTAGTGCATATGGCATGTTCACAACGAACTTTTAGACTCCAAGCCAGCCACCCCCATCAAGGCCTCCAGATGTTTCCCCATTTTCTACCAAGATTGCCTGGTAAGAATTGCTTAGTTACCGAACCAAAACATATTGAAAGGGACAAGTGTTATCATGGGGTTTCAGGAGGTGTACGTGGAAATTAAAGCCACAACCAGGTTCTTGTTATCATGTGTGCCCGAATGAGAATACATTTTATGTTTTTAATAGATGTTTGCATCATGGTACGGTATATTTTTTGGAAATGTCCATGTCCTTATTACATATGGTCTAAAATTTTCAAACAATCTTTTCTATTTCTGGAAGAAATTCTACAATGACCAGTGTATGTATAGGCTTATAAATTTTACGTGCTTCGGATTGGTCGCATGGTACACATTTATTATACTGGGTTTCCCCCTATGAAAGAATTAAGGATTCAAACACGTACACGTACTATATGTTTGTAAATCTTGGAGAACAATGGTACCATGTATGCTTCACATTTTTTAAAAGAAAATGATTAATTTATGTTAGACAAATGTGCTGTTCACGTCAAGGTTAAGCTTTGATTTCAAAAAATGGTTATGCGTTATGCGTGAACATGGGTAACCATCAAGAATGTGCCCCGACCGGGGAGGATTTCTTGTAGTAAGAATGTGCACAGCCATGCATGAAACCTTGAAACGTCTAACATGTGTCTAATTTACGAATATTTTCTTGGAAGCTTGTTATTCTGTTTCAACTTGGGCAAATAAGCACGCAAGAAACCTTAGAACGTCCGAGCTATGTCTCATTTGCGGTGTGGAAACAGGGCGCGCAACAACGTCCATGCACTCCATACACCTTCCCGCAACATGCACGGTTAATTTGTGGCAAGCAATGCGGAAGTTTGGATGCTTGTTGATGTGTCCAGCTTAATCTTGGCGTGCCTACGCCCACTTTGCCAAACGCACTCATGCGTCACGCATGCGAAGCTGGCGCAAGCGCATTAAGCATGAGGGAGTACGTAGTTGCGGGACGGGATGTGTGTTGCATGTTCAGGCCGTCCGCCAACCGATTCAATTTCGTATTGTCCCGTGCACTCGATCTGCATGCATGACGATGACGTGACCGGCGAATCAAAGAACCCTATTTATACCACCTTTCTTCTGCGAAGGCAGCCACACCCCATCCATCTCCATCTCCACGCACCTCACACACTAGGGAAGAAGCATGGTCTCCATGGCGGCGGCCAAGATCGCCGTCCTCCTGGCCGCGACGACGCTCTTCGCCGCGGCAGGGGCGGCGGACCCCCAACCTCCCCTACCCGGAAATGAAACCCAGTGCTGGCAGTGCTACTCCACCTGCATGCACAAGTGCGACAACAGCAGCTGCGGCGACGTCCAGAAGTACTTCCAGTGCAAGAAGTCATGCATCCTGGATTGCTACAAGGAACTGCCGCCGGTGTGCTTCAAGATGTGCATCTCCCAGACCTGCCTCACCCTGCCACCAGGTGCCTGTGCCACACCGTCCAGAAATGCAACACGCATTTTACTTGCTCATACGTACATAACCAGCACGACTCTCCCTTGATTACAGATAAACAGGTGGATTGCTACAAGGCATGTCGGACCAAATGTTTCCACAACCACCCGTACCCCGGGCCAAACCCAGGTCCAAAGCCACCAATGCCGCCCGGACCTCCGAAGCCGATGCCACCGCCCGGACCTCCGAAGCCCATGCCACCGCCGCCGTCGCCCAAGCCGCCCAAGCCAACCCCGCCAAAGGCCAGCTAATAGGCCGAAGACAAAGCCGATGCCGGCGTGCCCGCCACTAGCTGTATCCGCGTCAAGCAACACCAGCAACAGCTGATGGGTGTACGCGACGACGTCTATGCACACATACTTTCAAGTACAACTCACGATATATACAGCACAACAGTATGAGCAGAGCCCTCGAGAGAAAAAACAGTATATGTAGAGGTGTTATGATTGCTCTTATCGATATAGGTTATTCTATAAGATTACTCTATACGAGAAGTAATCCATCAGCTCTAAGTAAACTGGGTATAAATCATGCATGTATAAGGTATGTGTTGCTGATGTTAGAAGTTGATTCCTTGTGTGAGGATGCGGATGTAACACGACATGTAATTCTTAATATCCACATGCCTCACCAAAACAATGTCTAAGTAACCCACGATTATGATGTTATCAAACTCATTATAAATATGCATGTAATAATTATTGCCTTGCACACACTGCAAAGCTTGATAAGGTCTTTCCAGTGATCTAGTTCTAGATTAGGGAAATGTTTCGTGCCGACCGACCAGCCGAAGCTTCACGTCGCTCTCACATGCACAGTGTGCACATCAGCACATACACATGCACCACACGGGCCTAGCGCTATGATGGCCTCGAAGGCTCAGGCAAACTGCTCCCGGAGACGTGCATACGCGATGGTCCCCATGTGACAGCCCTCCTTTTTCCTCCTCTTAATTATCGCTTGCCTTATCTCTTACCTTTCTTGTACCTCCGACCCGCATCAAACACTACTCCTGCTACAAAAATGTTGCATCCGGCTAAGCAAAATGTCGCATTCATCGAAAAGCTGGAACCGATGAAAGAAAATAGGAGGGGGCAACGAAAGATGCTGGAACCACCGCATATGGGTGTTGCAACCATTGACAGAAAAACTTCAAGCCTAGATCGAAAAAGCTTCAACCCTCAACTTGGGAAGCTTCAACCAGCCACCGTCAAACTGAAAAGGTTGCAACCGTTATGAAAAAAGCTTCAACCATAGGTGGAAAAAGCTTCGACCGTAGATGAAAAAAGCTTCAACCGCATGGGGAATGCTTCAACCTGTGGAAAAAGTTTCAACCTGCATGGAAAAATCTTCAACCACGTGAGAAAAAGCTTCAACCGACACGCGGTTGGTGAGAGCGGCGACGTGGAGAGCTGCTGCCAGTGGCATGGCGGTACTACGAGGACATGCTATGATGGTGCCTGCTAGGTGCTGCAACGACAAAGGCTTCGACGTGCTACAAGACGACAACGTTTTGTTACGAGGGCGACGACTTTTTGTTGTACGAATGAGGATGGGTGCTTCGACGGCGATGAGGACGGCCGGCGAGCTGGCTGGCATCTAGGAGGATCACCGGGCTGCTTGCGAGGGATAGGCACCAGTGCCAGCGCCATGGCTTTGCTTTTTTTTAACAAGTCCCTTGGGAAAGAAAGGCATTGTGCGGCTATAATACAACGAATCGTATGCGCCCGACGCGATCGGCCGGAATTTCGGCCGGCCGACCAACACGTATCACTGCCCTCTAGATTAAGCACAATTTTGTCAAGTATCTCGATCATAAATAAGAGGACGCGTTCGTATTTTAATGCGTAAGGTGCTTCTAAGGCTCTTCTCAGTGCTCCGCATTGTACAGGTGCTAAGCAAGACAAATAGGTAAAATATTTAATGTGGAAGTTATTTAAGAAGGGAGAGAGGAGTTTGATGACCCCACTAAGAACCAATGCCAAGCGCATGGGTCTATGCAAAACACTTTCTCGGCTTCAAGTTTCTCGGCGGCGAGATGGTCGACTTTGTTTGTGGTGGAGATGATGATGCCGAAGACGATGCAGACGTAGATGAACGGCAGCGAGCAGTCACGTAGGAGATGCTCCCTAAACACCGAATCACCCCTCTCCCGTATAGGATCTAGAAAGGCAGGGTTTCGGAGGCCAGCTCTCCCGTCAACCGTGTATGGGATCGCCGACGGCAACAACAGCAGAAGGAACGATAGAGGGCGATGCACTTGGAAGCAGAGCAGATGCGATCTGTTCTTCGTGGCGGCTAGGGTTGGCCAATGACTCAGTTATATAAGCGGGATACGGTGGAGAGACATGGTCTGGATCCACATCTGAGTCAACAACAGCCCATGATCCAATGTCTCAGATCATGGCTCGTCTATTAAGAAATGTCCATCCCTGACCAACAAAAATAAGTGCATAGGTGCGGGCTCGGCTCATTCCTGCAACCCCACGTGTGCGTTGTGACGAGGCGAGGCAAGGCGTAGCGAGGAGGGCGGCGGAGGGGGAGGGCACAAGAACCACTTCTCTTCTCAAGTTCCAATAGCATATGAAAGATTATCCCTTATAAGGAGGTCCAACTCCTCTTCCACTCGCGGTTTGGGACTAAACTTTCCAGCAAACCATTGTCATATAACCCACATGGTACCTTAGAGATGTTCTGAATTCCTAGATCGGCCCAAGGCCCACCCTGCATTTCAACAAGGGGAAGGAGTAGGAGGACGATGATTCTGAGGTAGGGTGAGGCAAGCTGGAGACGGGGAACACGACATCGTTGCGGTGGCCACTGCTGCTAGAGGTCGAGAACGAGGGAGGGGCATGGCTACTCGAGGTCAAGGTTGGCGTCTCGATGGCGCCCACCCCCAAATCAGATTTATTTTTTTATAATAGCTGCCCATATCAGATTGGTACAAATAAGAGAGGTCAGGGAGAGATTTTTTTCTTGAGACGAAGTCGGAGATAAATGGAGTCTTTTATTAGAAGGGGAGAGACGGAGTCGCGGGATGGAACGAGCACTGGGCCAAATACCAGCCCAGTTAACCATAGTGTGCCAAAAAGGTATGAGGATAGTTGCTGTGACGCCCGTGTAATTAGGCTACAGTAATCCCATGTTAATGATGCCACGTCACCATGGTTACTGTTGTTAATCTCGTGTTAGTTCAAAATCGATTCGAAATTCAAACTTAAAATAAAGTCAAACGGTAAAGATTTTTAAATATTAAAACTAAAATGTTGGGGTGTTGCCAAATAATGCATAGGTAATTATTGTGGATAAACCACACTTTTATAAACTGTTTAAAGGCTCTAAAGTAATTAAAACAGCAGCTATGACAATTAATTAAATGCCTTTTAAAAATAATAATAATGCAAACTATTTTTAATTAGGTGTTACACTTTTTGGGGCAGTAGAATAAATTATAACATTAATTTAGGAGTTGTATTTATATTTTATAAAACAGAAATTAAAAGAATAAAATAGAAAAGAAAATAGATAAAGAAAAGAAAACAGAAAACAAAGCTAAAAAAAAGAGAAAGCAACCCCCCCCACTGGGCTCCGGCCCAGCTGTCGGCCGGCTTGCCCAAAAGGCCCAACCGGCCGAACCAACCCCCCCACTCCCTTATCCCATAACCCCTGAAACCCTAACCCACTCCCCGTCGCCCCACACCCCACTCCTCCAC